ACTCACCTCAGCCTCCCAAAGGTGCGGGATTACAGGCTGAGCCACCGAGCCCGGCTGAAGGTCCTATTTTTACCTGGGATTTTCAACTTTAAATGTTAGGCTTCTTTTGAAAATGTGTTTTATTTTCTGAATTTTTCAAATTTCTCCAAAACAAGTTTAATTTTTAAGTAAATATTGGTCTTTGAGAAAAGATGGAAGTATTTTCAAATAAAAAGTGTTACTATTGTGATTCCCCAAAAGTTGTCACCGTAATATAAAGCAACTGGTATGGTTATTACTATTTTTATTCATCAGTGTTGACTAATCTTAAGTACTATGTTCACAGTCTCTACTGAACTAACAAGGGGAGTAAAAGAGGACTTAAAACTCAGCTTCTGAATTTCCAGTGGTAAATTAACAAAGCACCACAAACCCCAAAATCATTACTGCTGTAGGTGTCTGTCACAGTTTTGATTTCTGTTAAAGACTAGAAAAGCTGCCAAAAGTGTAACATGTTTAATCCACAGTTCACACAGGGCGTTTCAGGTCATGTGACAATACAAGGAATTATAGAAGCCATAGAAAATAAATGTCAAAAGTGATTTTTAAACATTTGTTATTTTAAATTTTATTTTAGATTTTTATATTTTTTAACATTTTATTTCTTTTTAAAAATTATTATTATTTTACAAAACATTCCATTTTTACCCTTCTCCTCTGATTTATGTGGGTCAACTATGGACAATTTAGAGTAGAAAGGCAGTTGATAAGCAGGGCTACTACTCAACTAATCATCTGAGATTGTTAATTCTTTGAAAGCACCAAACAGAGGTAGTGAAGGCCCCTGGATCTACATCATTAAGTAAATACAGCCTTTTCCAAAGGCATGAACACATCCTTGGGTTAATTGTAGAGGAAAGATAAGAACCAAGTGAATGAAAGACTGTGGCAATTAACTCGAACAAGTGATAGTGCAATTGGAATGAATACAAGATCATCAAAGAAGCTGAAAGAGATAATGGCAAAGCCTTTAGCTGGGTTTAGGATCATGCTCGCTGGGAATACGTGTGAATCTGACGTTCATTGTAGCTGATAGTCCAGTGATATAATTGAAGATACTGCAGTAAAAGTCAAGAAAGTTAGTGTAAGTGAAACTTACTCAAGAAAATGAGTAAACTATTTAATAAAATTTGGAAAGGGATCACTAGGAAAACCTTTGTTTTGATTTCTGTTGGTGAAACAATATCAATTATTTCTCTGGATTGCCTTCAAAACTGTGTACTTGTCATAGGCATGCAGATGAAAGAGCCAGGCCCTGCTCCCAAGGAAATTTCAGCCCCATTACAAAGATAAACAAGAGCAAAATTAGTTTTCAGTGTTGCAATACACTATTAAGGAATAAATGCAAAAAGTCCTGAGAATCACACAAGTAAAGGAGTGGGTGGGGGCTCATAGAGCTTTTGGAAGTCAGGGAAGACTTTACAAGAAGTT